AAAGATAAAAGCTTTTTTTTTGACAGGTTAAGAGGTTTTTGATAAACTGTTCATTTAGGTTATTAAAAGTCTAATGAAATTGAATCACAACATCAGAGCTCTTAGAAAATGTATAAATAGATTATGCTGCCGAAGGTACTCTTGAGTGCAACACATACATCTTCCTTAAGATTTTAATCAAGCTTTTGTACACTTTTTTTAATTCTTTTTATTAGAACACATTTTATAAGATCACTGAGGCTAAAATTGCTTAAATAATAAGAATATAATAAAGAACAAATTGAGGCTGAGTTAAAACAAATCTTATCTTCTGTACCTTACAGTATATGCAGTGTAGTAGGTGGGACTATGTAATAATACCCTCAATAATACACTATAGTAATATACTGCTATACAATAATAATCTTCCAAAAGTGTATAAAATAAGAACATTTTGAGCCCAAAATTTGCACAAAAAAAAAAGAAAAAGAAAAGAAAACTGATGTAAGGCAAAATTTTACTGGTTCTTGTTAAAAAAAAAAGTGAATGTTTCCCTTAAGCTTTTAATCTAGCTTTTATATTTCTCTTAATCAGTATGTTAGATATTTTGTGGATTGATTTTTATGTAATTTCTGGAAATTATGAATCAATAAATATGTCATAAAAATTTTTTTTTTTTCTCCCTCTGGCCACTGTTAGCATTTTTTAGCTGTTTTTCTAAGCTGTGATAATTTTGTAATGTTGTTTAATTACTATTTTGTGACCTTTTTAAAGTCCTAGTTTATCGAAAGGTATTTTTCTTTATCGCACACAAATTTTCTACATAATGTGTATTTCTAATGCACAAGTATGCATCAAAGATGCTGTTTGCATCCAGTTAAAAATGGCAGTAATATGAACACAAATATTTTATCATATTATAGAAATGGAAATAACAACCCTCTAGCTACTTTTCTTGATTTTATTCAAATTAATGGTATTCTGTGATTCATACACAATTGGGTCATTCAAATCCATTAACCTTTTCAAAAGAAGTACTGTATTGAACCTTAAAGCATTTAAAATATGGGTTATTTGTTACATGAAATCGTGTGTACTACGTTTATAGATATATTTACTTAAAAGATATATAGAATCGACATCATTCTTACTATAGAAATATTCTTAAAAGTGGATTTTGTTTTAGGATTTTCCATATGTTTAATCTGTATTAATACTAATCTGGGCCCTTATGAATGTAAAAAAAAAACATTGTGAGGCACATTGTCTTTTAAATATAGGATGGAATGGGGATTTGAGTCCCCCTCTATCAGTGAGTGCTGACAAATCCAATTAGGAAAGTGCACTTTATATTGGCACTGCCATTGCTGGAGACCTTAAGGGTTCTCCACATGCACATCATATCCATGTACGTTGGTCTTCTTAATCATATCCACAAAAAACCTTTGACGTTTGCAGCTATTATATGACTGTAAGGGTGGCTCTAGAAAGGTCCCACTCTGGTCTCTTCTAGGCATGATGACAAATGGTAATACCTTGTGTATGGTGGGGTGAAGTATTTAGAGCAGATTACGATGGAAACATATAATAATTTCAATATTTGTAGCAGATTATGCGTAAGAATCACCCACCAGAAGCCCCAGCTACTGTATGGCATCTGCAGAGGTAGAATAATCACAGTAAGTTGATCAGTCCAGAGAGCATCAAGGCCACAAGTGATGAGCTCAAAATAAAAATAAATGAACATAATAGTGACATACAGTATGTTGAAGGTCTGATCAATACTATGCGATATGATACAGTCAATAATAGAAATGATGATCGTTAGTCGTAATGTCAACCGATTTAGCAGTGTCTGAAAATGACAGGCAATTGTGAGACGACAGTGGCTAATGGAATAGTAACATTAATATAATTATATCATTTATGTCATCTCCATGCATCTACATTATGCTTCAGTAAATAAAATAATGTTTTTGTCTTTAAATTAAAAAAATTACATACTGAACATTACCTTTATTCTAAACATACATTATTCACTTCATAAAGTAAAAATGTACTTAGACCGTATTTATTCGAATTTACGCCCCTCTCCCCCACCCCCACAAACAAATCATTCTCAACACAATCTAAAAATGTTCTACTCCAGTAAAATTACATTTTCTCTAACCTGGTTAGGATAAGTCTTTAAGATCATGCCATAGGCGAGTCGTCTGGCCGAACAGTTAAGACAAGGGAACCGTGATACTGCCATAATATCGGCGCTGGTTTGAACAGCGTGCTCGCCTATGGTTCCGGTGGTGGAACAAGTCTTCTTGGATAAGGACTTTAAACCGTAGGTCCAGTGTACACAATTGGCTCATGTGCACTTTAAAGAATCAAGTACATCATTCGAGAAGAGTAGGGGTTATCCCGGTGTACTGGTCCATTTCCAGTCCCCTGTCCGGCCACAGAAGGAGCGTTTAGGTCGTGGCCCGTGTCAGGTATCCATCCTACCTGCGAATCCTTCTACCACACTACTTAAGCTAGATCATACACACTAGCTACGTAGTGACTCGATTTTAATATTTTAATATAATGTTTACTATCAGTATATCTGTTAAAATTGAAAGTTGATTTGCAAACACTGTATAACTTCTGTTGGCATCTGTGACTATCCCGTTGTGAGTTTCTTTTTCTGCAGTTTAACTGATGCCTCATCATGCTACTATTATTGATCTTAAGATTTCTCTGTGGTCATTATTATTGATGATATTGAAAGTGTTTTGTACCTGTGTCAGAGATGGTGTTAGAGCATGCTCATATTTATGATCGACAAATGCTAAATCGATCTCGGATCCTGAAGCTTTTATTGGCTTATTGATGAGGAGGATGATGATGAGGATGTAGATGTTGCCGATAACTCACCTGTCAGTAATGATGTGATTTTGATGAGGATATCAAATAGAGTAGGAAGAGGAGGAAATTTAAGAAAATGTAATTCATAGACCGATTCGTTGATTAGTGTCGCCTGACTTGGATGTTGGATTTAAACAATGGACTCTAGCGCAGAGTTGTTGTACATGACAATTGTATTGGCGGCCAGGGAGGTATAATGATGAATAATCTTGGTTGGGACACCAGTGAACTATACCAAATTGATTGGAAATTTAAATTGAGAATTTTGCCTTAATAGTTAGTTAATGCTCCAAAAGATACTGGCCTCCAAACATTTGGATATTTCGACAAATATTATGCGTACTGTAGACCCGTACATATCTACAGCCTGTTCAGGTATGCACAAGAGTCTTCAAACCCGCCAACTACTTCACGATTTCTAGTCTACAGTAGCTAAGGTTTATGAATAATCACATAAATTTCAAAGAATACAATGCAAGGAGAACACTAGAATATTAGTATTGCCATTTATTTCTCACGTTAACAGTGGGTGATTTTTTTTTAAACCATAAGATTATCTTTTCCTATATATTTTCACTGATCACGAGATGTGTATAAGAGACAGTTATATGACTGTAAGGGTGGCTCTAGAAAGGTCCCACTCTGGTCTCTTCTAGGCATGATGACAAATGGTAATACCTTGTGTATGGTGGGGTGAAGTATTTAGAGCAGATTACGATGGAAACATATAATAATTTCAATATTTGTAGCAGATTATGCGTAAGAATCACCCACCAGAAGCCCCAGCTACTGTATGGCATCTGCAGAGGTAGAATAATCACAGTAAGTTGATCAGTCCAGAGAGCATCAAGGCCACAAGTGATGAGCTCAAAATAAAAATAAATGAACATAATAGTGACTTTAAATTGAGAATTTTGCCTTAATAATTAGTTAATGCTCCAAAAGATACTGGCCTCCAAACATTTATTTCTCACGTTAACAGTGGGTGATTTTTTTTTAAACCATAAGATTATCTTTTCCTATATATTTTCACTGATCACGCTGTAATGTTTTCCATGGTATACCAACTGTACGTCACATGACTGGCTGTAAACCAACATTGCTTAAATTTCTTTCTATTGATTGGGATTATCAGTGTGAATATTTCATTTCATTTCTTTAGGCACGAGGGCCAAGGATATGCCAATAAGTGAACTTAATCACTGTCCTACGTGGCATATCCATTTAGCAACAGGGGACTTAATGGACCAGTACACCGGAGTAACCCCCTACTCTTCTCGAATGATGTACAGGGTTCTTTAAAGTGCACACGAGCCAAATGCGTACACTGGGCCTATGGTTTAAAGTCCTTATCCGAGAAGACTTGTTCCACCACCGGAACCATTGGCGAGTGAGCCGTTCGAACCAATGCCGATATTAGAGCTGAAGGTCACGGTTCCCCTGACTTAACCGCTCGGCCAATCAACTCGCCGTTGATCAAAGTAAATAAAAGGTGTAGCCGACTTAGTTTGGAGAACAATATAAAAACAATACAAATTTGTAGTCTCCTGATCAAGTCCACCGCATTGGTGAAAGCTTGAGCAAGTGTATAGTATTCTTAAAAGTGCTGAGTGTTCATTTTATATATTATAGATACATAAAATATTTTTTAAATGAATATGAGTGCAAAGGGTTGAACTATTTTAATGAGGTGAATGATGGAATGTTCCATACAAAGAAACAATACAGTAATAAATATCATAATTGTATCTTTCACCAAAAGAAGATATTAGATTTATGCCATGTTAAAAAGATTTTTGCCATAGGCAAATTTATATTACATTAATATTATAATTTCTATGTGCTTGCTGAAATATCAAAGGTAGTGGTGTACTGTAAGTCTCATTTTGTGAACGTTCCCATTCTGTTGAGCAGTTCATTCTCTGAAGTAATATTGAATTTAAACAAAAAAGTGTAGGGGATTGTCTTCTGGTGTACTGCATTCATATTATTAATCATACTAATTATATTACTTTTGTTTATTGTACTGCTATAGAAACGTTAATCTTACCCAATATTTGATTGATTGATTGACAAATTTATTAATAAATCTTAACCATTACACATTATTTATATTTCCATAGGTAATGGTGATTTCAAGTGACCACAGTGCTTGGTTCTATTCCATGTGAGGTGATTGTAAATTATGCAAGATGCGTCTGCCATCAATGAGAGTGTGCGTGAAGCTTGGTATTGCCTTCTGCATGGGGTTCCTTCTGTTTCTGATCAACTTTGAGAGCTGTACAAACGGGACGCTCAATGGCAAATTACCTATACAGACAAGACACCATCAGGTTTGTGGAAAACCATTTTCTATTGGCATAGTGTGCAGAGGAGGGGGTTGTGGACTTATCCCCCATTTGATGTCATACTAGTTCTGCTAAGTGGGTTATATAGAGTTAAAAATGACATGAGTTTTTCATTGGAATATATAGGAATTTAGTTTCAAATTTTCAGTTTTTTCACCCCTCAGGCCCAAACCAGCCTATGCCTGTTATCATTCAGTTTTATTATAATTTTTATATTTTCATATTTTTTACAATTTTTTTGTTATAGTGTTTGGAAAATTTATTCTTGTTTAACACTGGATATGGTTTGTTTACCTCAGCAGTGTAGAATGTAAAAAATATATTTCAAGGAAGGATCAGCTCCAGACAGCAAATGCACTGGGAACTTGATATAACCTGAACATTATTACAACTAAATGTCTATATTTGATTGGTCAGGGAATGTGAGCATTCTAAACCCTCATATCTCCCATTCACCGTAGTGTTCTCCTCATAATTAATAACATTCCAAAACAAAAACATTTAATATTTCCTTCACAGAATTAATTGAAGAAAATATTTTTCCTAAGTTACTACAAATTCTTTTTTTTATCTTAGCTGCAATGTTCCTATTCCCAGTGGAAATACTTGAGACAAAGAACAGCAGCATACAGTAATTAAGAAAATGAAATTGATTTGACATTGTTGACCTAGAGTAAGGGCACCCAAGAGCTAACAGTTCAACCTGTTGCCAGAGAATTCCGCTAATTTGCCCAATTACTCTATTTATTATTCACAGCCATTCATACTGTAGTACTGTATGTAATATAATACAATTCATTTATTACAACTTACATACTACAATATGTAAATCTATAGTAATGAATAATATGAATAATTATTTTCTTTTATGAAGGTATAATAGATATCAGATATTAAACTTTAATGTATTCCTTTATTTCATTATCCAAAATCTAGCATTTCGTCAGGATACATAATTCTCTATTATTAATTACAGGTCTTTATGAGGCAAAGAAATAGATTTGTTTTTTTAGTATAGAAAGATTGGATTTGAACCTAAGACCATGGTATTAAAAAGTGATCCTCTACAGTTCTACTACAAATGTTGCAGAACAGTTAGCCTTCAAATGTCTTTTGATAATGATTAATAATAAGGATGATAATGATAATATTAATAACAACAATAGTTGTAGCGGTGGTGATGATATTACAGTAAGATGATAATTATAATCGAGCCAACACAAAACGTTAAAATATTCATGAATGTGGCAAATTTTCAAGGCTGAAAATATCAAAGTGTTAATGTATAATTATACTAGAATTATATATAATATACATTAAAAAAAATAAGAATATAATATTTATAATAAATCTAATGCAAACAGAAGCAGTACATGGGTAAATTATTGTAATGTTGTTGATGTTACAGTTGTTACAATTATCATATTATTGTGAATATTATTATTATTATTATTACTATACTATCAATTATCGTAATATAATATACATCCTAATAATTATCATTTTTGTTAAACCTGAAAGGTCCACTGATTAATCTCAGATAAGAAGTATAATACATAATCCAAGTACTGTATTGAAAATACAGAATCCAAACCCAATGGTGTGTATTTCAATACCTATGGATAATAGGATAATAAACAATTGGAAATAAAAGAGTGTTTTCAGGGATAAAACAAACAAAGAAATATGAAATATACATAAAAGCATACAGTATGGTAGAACTGAATACAAAATTAATACAGATTTTCTATTTAGTTCCTTTTTGTCATAATTCATTACAATTGAGATACCCATGTCATGGCTAGGATTTGACAGATCATGCAGAGTGCGTACTTAGATGTCATGTTGTTTAAAACTCAAAAGCAAAAATATTGAGTTGTCAAGTTGGTCATTTTTCATATTTGTGTAGAAATTTGCTGAAGGCCATTTGTTTCTAATTTGTATTCATAATCTAAGCGCAAGTGTCGATGATTATCTCATCTGTTAGTACCGGTACATATTCTCGCAAATTGATTTTTTTTTTCACAGAATACAGATGGTTTTTGAGAATACATTTTAAAATTTTAACTATGGTAAAATCTTGAAAAACCAGTAATGTATTTGAAATATTGAATTTATAATCACATGAATGCTATTCGTTGTTCAATATCACACGCAGGCCTGGAAAAAAGTTTTCTGTGGCTCCAACCATGAAAATTATCTTGATCAAATGTCTCCAGGACCAAATGTTATCTTTACACTATTACAGCGAAACAGTAGTACATTTAGTGTTTTGGTGCAAGCAAAAATATTATATTTATGCATTAAATTGTGATGTGCAAAAAAAAAAAAAAAAAAAAAAAAGTTTCTAAAATGCCTCTGGGTTAAAGGTCAATGCCTCCGACCTCCAGTCGCGCACTTTTTCCAGCCCTGATCACACGTTTTCCAAACATCGCAATTTGTCACAATCTTCAGCAGGACAGTGTACTGTAAGTTGGACCTACAATATGTAGAAATTCCATAGTTTTTCTTTGAATATTACTCGCCCATGTTTATGTTAAGCCTGTTACTCATTACGTGTGACAGCAACGCGATGAAGAGTCCCCTGAATAGTGTTTGGCCACAGTTTTAAAAGTTACTTTTCTTTGTCTTGTGGCTGAAAAAGTGTCCACTTAATAAGGATGTTTCCTTAACTGGGTGTCCCTTTAATAGGGGAGGTCCCAAAGATTCTACTGTAGTTCAGCACTATTTGATTTATAGACTTTCTACTAAGCAACTTGATTACTAGCCAATTTAAGGGTCTAGTCTAGGTTATAGGAACAGAAATTACTTAGTGAGTAATAACATAACTGTATTTGCTTTCTCCAATTTTGAGTTGAAAAGCTGACCGAGTATTCAACTGTTGAATTTAATTATGATTACGTTTAATAGTTAGCTATATGTATTGCATATAATACATAATATAGTTATAGTAGCAGATGCATCTACAAAAAAAAAATTTAGCTCTGCAGGCTGTAGTATAGCCAATCATAGCTGGAAAGCTCATGATATTGACATTTTTAATAGATTTAAGAGGATCATGAAAGTAGACATAACAAAATTAAGACCTGAAAACAGAAAGCTATAGCTTGATATTTATCTCTTTTTTTTTTATTAAAGAATTGTTAGTGATTGATATCTTTGTTTGACATCAGAATCGACACGTACCTTCATTTTTTTTCAATGATGTTTTTGTGTCAGGAAATTTAATAGGAATGATGTTTTGCCCTACCAGATATGTGAACGAAATCAGTTTTTATTGCATAAGTATTTGGCAAACATACTGAGTCTTCAATTAGTTAGTCAGGAATACTTTCATTTTAAAATTCCAAAGTGGTTCCATTTTAACATGAAGTAATTTAGAAAAGGTCATTTTGTAAAAGGGTTTTGAGTGTATTAAACTTACACTGGCTTGCTTGATGTTTGTTTTCCGCTTTTTTATAGCACTACTCACTATTGATTGTCTACTTGAAAATCAATTTACACCTCTAATGACAATAATATGTGGGAGTTTATGTTTAAACAGAGACACACATTAGAAATATCTATTCACGGTAGAAATAGGTTCTTTGTTTTTTCATACTGAAGTTGTGATACAGTTGCATAAAAACATGAGAAAATAGAGAAGAAAAAGAAAAAAAAAATTAACACAAGATACAGACTTATCCAGTGTTTTTAAAGTATATATTTTTATCGGTAAAACACAATTTTATTTTTTTATTTGGCTTTATTATATAAATTTAATATTTCACAAAGCCGGGTGCTCAACGGTTATTGGCTGACCCGATTTTATGGTGAATGCAATGCCAACACATCGTTTTAGCGACGATCCATTCACACTGCCGCCAAGATTAGAAGATGGCATTGCATCGCCTAGTAAAACTGCCATACGAGGCAGTGTGTGGCCGTTTTAAGATTGCTTGTAGAACTTATTTTTGTTTTCCTGAAATTCATACAAAAATTTATATAGCAGACAACTTACAACACATAATAACTTCAAATCATTAATTTGTGAATAATGTAGAATAGTTGTGTTTCTTCCAGCATGTAAATTTATTTCACATGATTTGCTATGACAATAAATAGAATGCCAGTCTCAGACATTGTCTGTAACATGTTTTGTATGCTGTTTTAATACAATTTTGCGTAAAGATCAATCTTTGATCACGGATATAATAATCTTAGAAAATACAAATTCAATACAGGTATATGAATATCTTACTCATCGTACAGTGTAAGCTACTAGCTTTAAACAAATAATTTTAAACACCAGATGAAGCTGGCATCGCCTGCCAGCAGAGACTACTGTAGTGCTATATAAATAACGTAATTTAAGTGAGAAAATGTTTTGGTTTTGTTTTTCTCTGTCGTTTAGTAGTTTATTTATTCAGCTTTATAAGCACTTGGGCCAAGGATATGCCAAGCAGTGAACTAAATCACTCTTCAAAGTGGCAATCCCATCACAAGACAACATGAGCCGTATGGGCTCTCGAAAGATGGTTCTTTAAAGTGCACATGAGCCAATTGTGTACGCTGGGCCTACAGTTTATGTCTTTATTCGAGAAGACTTGTTCCACCTCCAGAACTACCGTTCGAACCAGCGCTGATTATGGCTGTATTTTGCAGCAACCCCTTCCTTAACCGCTCAGACATTCAACTCACCAAGTTGGTGTATTGTATACATAGACACTTCTTAACTGTTAATTAGTGAGTGAAAATAAACATATTGATTAATCGGTGACTCATTGTTGAAGTTGATCCTTTTTCATCCTTTCTTAAAATTGAATATTTATTAATAATAATAATAATAGATTTTTAGAGATTTTAACACAGACAATATTATATTTAATATTTTTTTAATATCTTTTTCAGGGTCACACATCTACAGCCGAGGTTTATGATTTGCATAGAAAAGAGGACTGTTTGGCATCATTTAGTGAATTAGAGGAGAAATATAAATCACAGATTTCGGCGTTGAAACAGCAAATAACTGACCTGAAAGCAGAGTTACTGAAGCAAGCGCACAAGGTGCAAGAAATCAATGAGCCTCACAATCGAAAACTCGCAACGGAATTAGAACACAAGAAAGTCGAGGAAAACTCTGAGGATCGTGTTTTGAGCGATCACATCAGAGTGCAGATGGCTAAGATTAATGTGAACCGCGCTTTAAAAGATGAGTACGATGTGATGCCATATAGCAGTTTAACCACAAAGCTTGTTTATAGTGTGAACGGCGGCTTAAGTCATAGACCATCCGAACGACCAAAAGCGGATCGAAAAGAGGATCTAGTTGAAGCAGTGTACTTTGCTATCAATCAATTAAATTCAATGAGCAAAACAAAGAAAGACTTCTCGGTAGATAATTTTATAGATGGAATATTCCGAAACGATCGCATGATCGGCACGTTTTATAACCTGATCTTCAGGGATCATTCATCTGGGAATTACCACTCGGCTCAGGTGCTACGGCCATTTGCGCCATTACAAAAAGTCAAAGTGAAAGTTATAGACACTAGTCGTGTAATGATCTACCTGATCGTTCCACTTTCAGGGCGTGTTGACAATTTCCGTATGTTTGTGGATAGACTTAAAGTGATTTTAGAGAGAGGAGAAAAGAATATTTTTATGACTGTAGTTTACTTTGGACTGGAAGGACTTTCAGAAGTGAAAGACATTTTGAATAAATTGACTGAAGTAACAAGATTCGATAATTATCAGATTGTAACAGCCAAAGGGGAGTTTTCAAGAGGGGCGGCGTTACAGGAAGGGGTGAACAATTGGGAAGGGGGAGATGTCTTAATGTTTTTCTGTGATGTCGATATTGCATTCACCCCCGAGTTTCTGGAACATTGTCGTTATCACACGCTACCAGGAAAATCTGTTTATTATCCGATTGTATTTAGCTTATATAATCCAGATGTGGTTTATGCAAACCACGAATCTATACCGCCACTTGATCAGCAGTTCCATATACGTAAAGAAGCTGGTTTCTGGCGAGACTTTGGTTTCGGCATGACCTGCCAATATAAGTCTGACTTCTTGCGAATTAAAGGTTTCGATCTTGACATCAAGGGTTGGGGTGGTGAGGACGTTCATCTTTATCGCAGGTATTTACAGTCGAATCTAAAAGTGGTCCGTGTACCCGATCCTGGAATATTCCATATCTACCACCCAAAAAAGTGCAATACAGATTTGACAGCGGATCAGTACAGAATGTGCATCAACTCGCAAGCTTTAAACGAAGCTTCTCATGTACAATTAGGTATGCTGGCATTTAAGGAATACATTAATCAGACAATGCTGCAACAAGCCTACGCTAAACAGACTGCACACGAATTAGAGAAGCAGAGAGGCTAGTAAATTTTTAATCCATCCTAAAAAATATTTTTTGTTCCTAGATTAAATAATTTTAGAAAATTGAAAGTGGTAATCTCATGAGTTTACATCATAATTTTGAACCCAAGGTATTCTATGCTCTTTTAAATGTTAACATCCTGAAACGTTCATCCAGTGATTCGCTGTGATGAAGAATGTAAACTATTAGCATTCGCTCAATACATTGCTTGGTAGTGGGGATCTGGATCAGAGTCGCTGCGGCTATTACTTTCTGCGTATCTGAATATAATTGCAATTTACACGGCAGAGTAACGCTGCTTTGACATTTGGTGGGAGGGTAATTTTTTTCTCATGTTTATTCTGTTTAAGAGACACTGCACACCCATGGCCGGAGTTGTGCACATTAGTAATGTATATTGTACGAGTAATAATAGGAAAGAATATAGATTGTCCAAAGGTCATTGACCTTTAGACTCAAAATTCTATCAATTCCAAAATAAATTGTTACAAATTCAATGACACTTAAAGCTTAGACACTAATTTGGATGATGTATAATCAATTTGAAATCTGGAATTGATAAAAATTAGTATATGAACTGTAAGCTCAGCATTCTGAATTAGATTGTAGTGATAAACCACTCATGGTCACTACTCATTATTAACACATAAATTGCTAGTAATTATTCGATAATTATCATATATTATATTATTGTTGTTTATATTGACAATCTTTGACAATATATCAATCATTACTATAAATTTTATATTTTATTCAAAGTACTGTATTTGCAATTTGACTTATTTTCCTTGCTTTAAAATTTGTTTTAAATAAATTTAATCATGCAAAAAAGCTTTTTATAGCACAGGTGGAATAAATTTATAATCAAATAAATATATAATACGCACAAATTACTCGTAACTAGTTCAAGCTAATAGAATTAATATGAAGTGTGTACCAATAGATATGAACTATAAATTTTATTAATCATGGCAAATTTCTTTGACTTCACCGAGGATTACCTTTCTGTGAAACACGCTCCAATTTCCACACGTCACTAGTGTTCTATTTCTTGAAAGTGTAACAAGATCTATTTTGACAAACCACCTAGATTTTTCTGATGGTTGCTAGCTCTTTCATCTTAATATCGCTATTTTCAAGTTCCTATCTTGGTAAATTTCAAAGTACTGAATTGTTATTCAATTTTAGTTATTATAATTTTTCTACAGTACCCATACCTTCCAACCCTCCTGATCTGGAGTCTCTTAAATTTCCATGCAATCTCCAAGTCTCCTGAATTTTCTAAAAAGCTCCCAAATTTTCAGGAAAAAAAAGTCAAAATACCAACAAAAACAAAACAGCTTTTAGTGGCTTTTGGTACCAATAATTGAGTATTTCTGTGTTACTTTTTCCAGTGTGCACCAACTACATCAATGATGTTAGCGTCCAAAGGCTTCCCTAGTAATACTCGACATTTCGAAAGAGCAGAGTGCATCCATTAAAAAAAACTTATATTTTCAGCATTTCAGGGGGTGGGGGGAGGGCACTTTACCAGTGTCCATCCAGTCTCCGAAATTTTGTGTTCCAGCGGTTGGAATGCCTGAGTACCTGCAATGGTTTGGGGAATTGTCAACAGCCTTAAATGAAACTGTAGAGGGTGCTATTTATGTTTTAGTCACAATCTTGAAATGATTTAACTTTTTTGAGAGGATTGGATTTTCTAAGTTAGGAACTACAGTAAATAGATATAATGCAGTTCAACTTAATAATAATCAGTACATTAGGTTCTTTTTCAGTATTTTTATATCATTTAGTGTACATTTTTCTGTACTATTCTGGTAACTAGCTACATCAGTGTTAGAGACAATCTTCAAAATATAATCAGCTGCCAGGAACTGTAACTCAATTATGATCAAATTTTGCATTGTAGGTTAAATGACTGATTACAATTTTATATATACCTACATGTACATATTCCAATTATATATGCATATGTATATCAGTTAGTCTCTTTCTATCCTGGATTATAATTATATAATAGAATATAATTACTACAGTATATTAAAGAATTATTTCATTATTTGTTCCTAGAAGCAAATCATTTATGTTCAAAATTAGTATGGCAGCTTAAATTAATGATTATAATTATATACTATTTATGTTATATAATTGTTAAATTTTAATTTGGATTTACATTAACCTATCTTGTATTTTGTTTTGTTTTTGGTTTTTTTTTTTTATATATAATATACTGTATATATGGTAATATACATTGGGTATCACATCCCACCTCTTCATATTGTATTTTCTGTTTTTACTACATAACCTTTTCACTTGGGATTCAATACCAATCAAATTTCTTTACATTAATATTCATTTGTTTTTATTTTTTACTAACAAAACATACTAAACTCATTTAAATCCATATTACTTTAAACATTCTTGTTCTTTTCTACTAAATATTGTACTTTATATATGTACTCGTCAACTTTAGATACAGTATTTCAAATCATTTCCTGTATGTACATTTTCGTTTTTTTTTTTTGTACTTCTCTTATCATGTGTTTTATCACTCCTTTAAAACTGTATTTCTTTTAATGTTATTGTTCTTTCTGATACTTACTATTAAAATATTTTAAAGATATGGTATAGTTTTTATCAAAATTTGTCTGTTTCAATGTTTTGTTGATGTTGGCATGCAATTCCAGAGCAAACCATTCAAAATATTAGACATACCTCAAAATATATCAAAATATTGTTAGTTGATATATTATTTTAATATTGTGCTAATCAAATTTTGATGCTAGAGCCAACCATTTTATTATTCGACATTACACAGATCTAAAAATATAACAAAATTGTATATTTGAATGCTTTACTTTTATCAGTATGAGTAAACCATATGTTGTGTATTAGACAAATATTTATTCAATGCGAGAGCAAACCATTTTGCCTAAAAGTATAAAACTGAAAATGTATCAAAATTATTATTTTAATAGTTTGTTGGACATAATATTGATGCAAGGGCAATTACACTTTTTAATCTAAAATTTAAAAAGAACTAAAATATATCATAATTGTTTATTTAAATACTTTCTTTAGTGTCATGCAAAGAATAGTATTGATGCAATGTGTTAGTATACCATTTTGCCCAGAAGTATATATATCACCCTATATACAGCATCAGAATCGTCTATTTGAATACAGTACTTTCATTAATGTCATTAAGTGCTGGATTTAAAGAAACAAACCTACGATATGAAAATAGACGTGGGCATTGCTGATCAACATTAACCTGCCATTAGCACTGCTGCTTGAACTTCGGTCAACGGTAATTAATGTTAACAAAACATTTATGAATTAAATGATGCCTCCCAAAGTAATAGAAGTGAGATAGGCCTACAGCATTACAGGTCTCCCTCTATAGTAAAAACCCCTCCAATTACGTGGTCTTTAATTGGAGGGAGACCTTTATTTTTAACTGTGACAAACTTTGTCTCGGGCTTATATTTTATTTTGTGTTTATATTTTATTTTTATAATCATTTATTCGAGTAATTGATTATTAAAGGGATTTAACTTTAATCGCACTATATATCAGCCATTTGATTTGCATATCATGCATTAATGAAATATTTAAGAAGGTGCTTTGTGATTTTTATTAAAGAATTTGTGCTATTATTTTATGGTGTAAATGGAGATATTATTGTAATTATGATGTCATAAGGCATACCTCTGACCCTGAACTGTAAGTTCATTGGTATGCAAAACTAAGATAAATAAAATTAATAAAACAAGGATAAAAATAAAAGACAATTATTTTGTTTTGTGTAATCATTTGTCAACATAACAAGGAAATACAGGATAAGTAATTAATTATTTTTTACCTAATTGCACATACTTCAGTGTGTGCAGAGGCTGATAATAAATGTGCACTCATAATCCATTCATAATAATCAGCTGTACTAAACAACCATTGTGAAGCACTTTATTAACACACTGTTGTAGCAGTATACACACAGAAATGCTATACACTGTATTTTTGTTGTGGCATGCACAGAAATGCACTGTATACAAGAATGTCGTGTTACACAGGTATACAGTATACGTGCTATAGTACGCTATAATGCACTGTCTTATTGCTACGGAAAGAAGTGCACTATAATACACGTTTGTAGTAACGCATTCATTAGGGAGTTTTCGCAAGCCTATGAAAACGATAAGAAATACGATTATGTCATCAAATTTATAGACAAACCTTTCCCCTGCAGTAGCATAACTGTCACACGTACGTAGACGATTCATGCCTTTTGCATTAATCAAAGGTAACATTGAGCTTGTACAGCGTATTGTCGAAAATTTTTTAGACACAAAGGACGAATAATGATGATTTATATTCACGTATTCATATTTGTTATCATGTTCGTCAAGTTGTGAAATCTCCCTATTGTACATCAAGTATACTTGCAGTGGCACATGGTGCACTTTGATGCACTGTAATACAAGTAGGCCTTAACACATAGCAGGAGTGTCGCCAGGATTTGCCCGACAGTTAGTCCGATGCCCCCGGCGAAAAAAAGTAGGCGTGGTCGTGTGTTGCTCAAAATCTCAAAAGTGTTTCAGGGGGATATAAGCCCCTGAAAATATGATAATTTAGGGGTTTCAAAGGCCTACTTAATCGATTTAAGAATCTGCTATTATGTACAAAATACATATACATTTCCTTCCCCTCCCCATGAACAACTGATTTTTTTCCCCGACATGAGGGCCAGCTCTACCAACGTACTGACAGTCGTGGCATATAGAAACTAGAGATGGTCGTAGAATCTTCTGTGTGGACTGCTGGAACAATAGGTTACCTTAATTTTGACCTTAGATAAACAGCTTGATATTATGTTCATTATGCAAGGCACAATATATGCACGTACCACATATAAACTCATTAACATTTGAAATCACTTTATCAAATTTCCATTATGCACATTGCCCTCTTCAGTATGTTAGAAAGAAATAGAGGGCGCCAAACATCTTTGCTTCTTTTTCATATAACCCAGCATTGATGTTCCGGATTAGTGATTTATATAATATCAATTCAGCTTGTCTGTTATAAATAATTGCATTGAACTAAAAGCAAATTATCACAGCATTAATCAGTAGAAATGGCAGTGGTATCAACCTCTGATTATGAATTTTTATTTATATATTATATATATTTCTCTTTAATTTTTTTCCTTACTCCATCATTCTTTTTTAATTTGTTATTTACTTGTTGATGTGCTGATTATTGTTGATTAGCAATATATTTTAAACACAAAAGATTTTCATTTTTTTTTAAATGTCTTGTACTCTATGTAGCTTGACTACTCTGATTGCTACATGCTCCACAACAATCTTTTCAAATTATAAAATTAAACATTTCAACAAGTCGATAGTAATTTCTACTTCAAGCTCTTTGTGATATTGTACATAATCTTCTGACTACAGTACACACTTTCCATTTCACTTCCTGCCTAAAAATGTCAATGACCCTTTGATGTAGCCATGATTTTTCTTCCCTTCAGTCGACCGTGGAGGTGTAAGTAGACATACTGTACTCATTTCCTTCTTTCAATTTTTACCTCACTTTCGCTCCATCTTCTTTCCGTCTTCCTTCTCACAAAATGATGAAGGATGTTCTTAAAATGGGAAGATCAAATAGGCCAATATCTGGTGGGGTATGCATTACCACTAGGATCTTAGTATTGCCCACTCCTTTATGCATATTTTGGTTTAGGGGTGTGGAAGTTAATAAGGATCATGAGTTGAATGACATCCGTACCCCAGCACTCCTGATGCAGTTAGAATGGGGAAATATTTCTCTACCCATGGATAAATATTTTTAGTATACAGTGTTATCATTTTTGTATTTTTAGTGTCATGTATTTACGTTGAGCAGATTGATCCCCATGATGGCATATGCAGCGATAAAAATTTGAATTGAAATTTATTTGTTTTTATATGAAGTTTATAAAAATCTAGGAAGTGCTCAATTTTGAGATAAGCCATAGTATTTGGATGCTCCTGGCAATACATATTTCATTTAAAAGTTCTTGCTACCATCTTTAGAGCGCATTGAGACGTATTAAAGCTTGTCTCCTCCATTATCGCGACCAGTACCGACCACTATATTTTTTCAACATGTTGAAAACTCTGCAACCATTGACGACCCTCTCTTCTACACGAGCAAGTTGCTCATAGCAGCTCTCACACTGGTCGGTGTCGGTCGTATACTGATCGCGGTGCATGTAGGTCGTGATAGTGTGAGAATTGCTTAAGAGGTAGTATTACATTAAAATAATTATGTTTCCAGATATTTTAAATTAAAAAACAATTAAATAAAAATGTTATAATTTAAAACAAAATAATAATTTTTTTTTAAATAATGAAGTTTTTGTTGAATAAAATAATTACACAATTATACAACATTTAACAATCATATATGATTTAATATATAAACATCACAGACAATATGGAATGCACACAATATTTTCTGATTTTGGGCTCTGATCACCCAACGTTAGTTCCTGCATAATAATTAGCAGAACTGTCGGTTAAAAAAAATGTGAAAATACATCTTTAGAAGAGTGACAATTTCAACAGAAATTAAATTGTTCTTCCTAACTTTATAACAGCGTGGAAATGTTTATTGCACCAAAGATCTACACACCAACATTAACTACACTAAGCATCATTAAAGTACATTAAAGCCAAGAAAAAAAACATACATTGTTTATGAAACTAAATTGATTTATAATTCCATATTTATATATCTGTATGATGATACAATTCATCACTAAATAGATATCAAGCAAAACATGCACTAATGAAAAATTAGTGCACGGTTGGGATAGGAAAATAACATTGGGAGTTGCAGTGATGATGTCATGATTGACGTATAATTAATAGAGTATATTTGATATTTAAGTAGGCCCAGACTTAATGGAAATTTCCCGAGTGTCAATCAAACTTAATTGACCAATCAGAACGGCAATAGGAATAAGCGCTTCTTTGCCCCACAAACACATTATATGTTTAGGTTATCATTTTGTGTGACCTCATGCAACATTCATTATCCAAGGGGAGGTTTTGGTGAAAGTTCTATAATCCATCATAACAGGGGTATTTGTGTACTGTATTTTTTCTCCAAAATGGGTTGTACACAAGCACAAATCCACCACCATCATGCTAAAAGTGGCAGCAGCAGCATCATGTTACATATATTTTGATACATGAACAGTATTCTTGGAAGTATGACTACATGAATTGAAAAACGCCAGCCATTTTACAAACATATTCCCATTGTTTAAACTTGCATGGCAGTAAAGTATTCTTACAATAGGGAGTAAACAATAATACAGTACATCATAGAGCTAAATAAAAGTGGTGTCAGATATACTTGATGATTTTGTTTTACAAAATCACAGAATCCACGTGTATACAGTATTACATCAAGTCATCTTATTTGATTATACTGCCCTCTAGAGTCCCTCACAAAAATTAAAAAAATATATTCTTGTACGTAAAATGGTGAATTTATGAACATTCTGCTGTAGTTGCTGGTAATGTTCATTTATTTGTAAAAAAAAAATAATTAAAAAATATATCAACCCTTGAAATAAATATGTCTAGGTTTTAAATCAATTCTTGTTACATCTTCTGATAATTATTGTCCTTTAACATTATTAATGCACCAAACATCTAAGATTACATGAATTCCAGTCATCAGTACATTCATTAGACGAAATTGTATATATCTATTCAATAATAAATAAATGGTTTTATTTATTATATATGAAAAATATTTTGACTATAACTGATTACGAGGTAACAGTAGGTTATGTCTTCTTCACATACTGTCAATGTTGAGAGAGCAGAGTTTTAGTTTCATTATTATAAGCCCGTCAATTTTGTAGGATTAAATCCAAACAATAGTGTGACGCTTCACCATACATGAATCACCTTGACAACGCACGAAAGACAGGAAGTTGTGATAAATATAGATTGAAAATACCTCACTCAACAACCCTGTTTTGAATATTAATTAGAAAAGGGAATTATTTAGTAATGATCGAATTCGTCAACAACCTTGTTGCTAGAAGCAAATGTTTACAACCACCATACATGGGAATTCTTTCCGGTTGAGAATCAAGCCAAGACCAGCCGACTTAATTGACAAAAAAATCATCTGGGAATTGAATTCATTTTCGCTTTCATTCATTGTAAATAGAATATTCCTTAAATTTTCATCAAAAGATGATTTTTCAATTTAATATTTTATACTAATCCAATACATTTTTAGGTGAATTTTCAATCAAAATATTGAATAATTAATGAATTAATTTAAAATAATAAAACTTGTCATTTTACAATAAAACTGTTTGGTGTGATGAGACACTCTTTGTTGAGAAAGAATAAATACTTTGAACCTATAATAACTTGAAGCCATAAATTTCAAAATTACTTTTTTCATAATTTAATTGTTAAATTTATTTGACAAATTTTTAAATATACCATTTGATTCCAACATCATCTTCCTTATATTTACTCTTTTTTTGGTTAAGTAATAAAATGAAATATATTATTGTTGCTTGTCCTTTAAATTGTGAAATTTGATGATGAAATTAGAAAAAATGTATTCATTGACATAACTTTTTATTAATTTTATAGCAATTCACGGTTACAAGCATGTATTTAGTCACAGATCCTACTGTATTTCGTGAATGGCAGTATAGGCAACCAGACGATATTGACGTCTTGCAGACGTTATTGAAGTTTTGCAGACACAAAATTTACATGGATACCCAATTAACATTCCCAGCTATATTATGTCACTTTCTCTTTCATTTATGAAATAGCAATATTTTTACCAAATCTGGACATCTTAGGAGACTAGTATGTCAATTGTATTGAAAGAGCATTCCAGAATAAAGAAAGATTTGTATTGTATTGTAATTGAATTTTATCACAAATTATAATTGAATTAATAAATTTTATGAACAGCACCTAGACTTCTTGCATTATGCAAGGAACTGTTATTAAATATCTGAGCAGTTATTATTTGCAGGATATGTTTAGGTTTCTCCTGAGAATTCACATCTAAACGATCTAATAATCCATTACTTCTGCATACGTTTTTGTTACGAGGGCGAGAAGGTCACTGGTTCGGATTCTGCCTACACATTGCCACATGATAATAAATTATATTAATAACTGGACTTGACTGGTCAGACCATAATATGGTATGACCAGTATATTAAATCAATTATAATCATGCAATTATATATTAAATAATCATTCAGTGTATGGACATTAATTTGCATGTTCATAATGATAGTAAAAATAATTGATGGTAATAGCTGATAAGTTTTATCAACGATAGACCAGAATTAGTATCATTTTGTCATAGTATAGATGTGGAAAAAAATATAGGTCTATATTTCATAAGAGAATTTATATTACTATTTGAAATTATAAGCATTGATACATAAAGATAATTTTTAATAATCAGTGCTGGATCCAAACAATGGCCAGCTGGCACAGCCCTCCCCCTCTCCCCCCATCACCTAAATTTTTTTAAATGTAGAAAAACATAAAATTATATTTAAATTTGACAGTGCTATTTGCGGCCATCTAGATGTGCCAAAATGATAAATATTCTTACTTTAGCCCCAACCATGGTGACACTGATGTGGTATAGACCCTCCATCTGTGGAAGTTCCTCCCTGGGCCCCCTTTATTTTGAATTCCTGGATCCGCCACTCTAAATTTAAATGTTAAAGGCAAAATAGTTTTAGTACGGTACAACAAAATCATTATATGTAGCTCTGCTCTCAATTTCAAATTCCTGGATACGCCACTGTAAATTTAAATGTTTAAGGCAAAATAGTTTTAGTACGGTACTACAAAATCATTATGTGTAGCTTTGCTCTCAAAGTGCCATCGTTCCGTTCTAGTAATTACATGGGGAAACTAATTCGGTAACTAATACTCAGTGGTCAGATTCACAGACAGACAGACAGCACGACAAATATACATTTACTTCTCCACACCTCTATACACGTCATTCACACTTCTGATTTCCAAGATTCTCGCCATTAAAAATATATTATTTTTAAAGAGACATCAAACATTAGGAGATATCACCATTAAATCTTGCGAATTCTGCAGGGATTGTTATTTTTATTTGGTGCGACTGGTTACGAGCTGTACTCATTGAAGTGTACCCAGCCACTGACATGTTGATGCGCGTTTAATGAAAAAATAATCTGAATTTAAATAAAATTTTCAGATAATTGAGGGAAGCGTGTTTATTTTTAGATGAGATTTTGGTAATGTTCTCCTGAGGGATCTGATTTAAATAATTTTGATGATATTGGTAAAGCTCTGTCCAGATTATCAACTTTTCTTTAACAAAAAATTGTTGTATGCCCAGATATAGTCATGATATGCCTATATATGGTCATGATGTGATGTCATCATGACTATATTTAGGCATATCACAAGATAAAGCAATCTGTAAGTTTAGAGACTTAAAGTTGCTGTCTATGAGATATCGGTATATATGGCCACCCTTCAGTACAAGATGAACATTTCTCATGGATCCGATTGATCATTCACAACAGTATCGCATCTTAATCATCAACTGTACTTCAGTCACAAATTTTTGATTTGAAATAAGTAACGTTTTGTGTCCATAATACGTAAACAATTACAAATTTACATATCCAATTTTGTCAAGTAATGTTTTACACGTAAACTTTATATGCTTATAATTATATAAACATATGAATATGCAAGAACATTATGCGTATTCATTACTTGTAATTACAAGGTTATGAATATACAACTGTAAATTATAATATTATTTGTGCATTTTATGCATACCCTCATACACTTGTAATAGCAGCTTATGATTATGCAGTTATTGATTTACATATGCAGAATAGTCAAAAACTTAATTGGCAGTTATAATAAAAAAAATATAGTGGTGGGTGTTATCATGTCTTTATGTACTTTGCTTAAACATAGATGATCTTGATATATATATATTTCTCTTTAAATTTTCATTATTGCTCATTTAGGATACTCAGCAACTCACGAAGTATATCCCTTTCACGGTTGGATTCAAGTTGAAAGTCGCATTGCGTGGCTGCTAACTGTTGACCAACAATACACTCTTTAGTTTGTGCTAAGTAGCCATCTTTAGAAGCTGTTACCTGGTAAATCCCAGGCACCAATAGTCTCCAGTAGTCACCGTCAGTAGCTACAAATGATCAGAAATTAACAAGGCATGTTAATTAATGACCTGCTAATGTCTACTCTAGACTTACACAGCTTTTAGGTGCAATTTTGTCATGTCTGGGGGTACATTTGACGTAAGTGGCTGTATGTAAAATAGGTAACTTTGAGTTTTTATTAGAATATTATGCAAAATTGGCCGGTTTTATGTTGTTTTCATCACGTTTTGTGGATAATTACACATACAGACTTGGAAATGTTCAAATTCTATCATGTATTTTGGGATACTTTTGATGTAAGAGTTTACTGTATTTCAAGTTTTTATTAGAATATTATGCAAAATCGATTGGTTTATGTTGTTATTTTCATGTAAGGAAAGTTTTGTGGATAATAGACACGCACATGCACACGGAAATAGTTGGTGCCACTTGGTTAGTCGTGACTCTTACAAAACATTTTAAAATATTTTGAAAACTTATAGTTCCTTAAAAATATATAACAAGAACAGAAACACATGAAATCTAATGTGTACAGTCATAGTCATAGGCTTTATGATGGTTAGAGAAAAACGTATTGTTCAAATTTTAATTAGACCCAAGACCCTGGAACTATAGACCCACCCTTTCAGTTGCTCAACTGGTAAATTTTAATCGCCAATAATCTTCAAAAAAAAAAAGACATTATTGCTTACTGAATTTTGTAACAATAGCTAATTTTTATCCCAATATCTGAATATGTAAATTTACTTTTAATATTATATTTTTTTCATAAATCATCATTTTATTTTATAAAATATGGTAAATGTCTATTGAAATGTGATACCTTATTTAATACATTTACTTGGTTTTTTTTTTCTTTTTTTTTGCGCCAGAGTGGAGACAGATGGCGACTTCCTGAAGATTTTGTGCTTATTGCATTTAAATTTATTGCTTTTATTTAATCAAAATAAAAATAGTTTTGAATAGCCTGTATTTTTAAGCAGATTTAAGATTTATTTGTGTATGATACAAGTGCTTTGTAACCGCGAGGAAAAGCCGCTATTTAAATGACCATTATTATTTTTTATATTTTTCCTAGCTGATTTTTGGTTTTTGGAAATAACTGTGAAGGACCTTTAAGTACGCTTTATAGCTGACAATTTATTTAAAAAAATATTGCAGTAAGAAGTGTGAATAAATTCAAACTAAAAACAATAATTTCAGAAGTAATAAATCAACTAACGTCAGCCAGTCAGCAGACAGGTCTCCACTACAAATTGGTTGCCATGGAGATGTGATGTCATAAGTAGTGATGTCACTTCATCTTACCTGTTGTGATGTCATGGTTGATTCCTTTAACGCTAATAGCCGCGTTTGATATTGGGAAGCCATCTTCATCTGTTACAAATCCCTTGATACCAATATGCACCTGACAATCAAGTGTAACAGAAAAATATTTAAAATCTCTAGAGAGATTACTTAAGAAAAATGTGCATTAAAATAGGATATTAATTGAATAAGAATAACTCTAACTGAGATATTTTTGCTAAATAAAAAAAAATACTAGTTTCTCGCCTCCTCACGCTTCCTTTTTCTCTGCCTCACCAATTTTTTCTTCTTTTTTTTATTTCCTTTATTTTATGAACTGTAAGAAAATTTGGCTAACTCACGCTTCCTTTTTCTCTGCCTCACCAATTTTTTCTTTTTTTTTATTTCCTTTATTTTATGAACTGTAAGAAAATTTGGCTAACTCACATCAATAAAATTGCTCATTTGGTTGGCAATAGGCCTACATATGTTATGAATAATGTCTAATGCTTCTTTGCTTTCAATGTGTCTGCTTGGTAAAAGTGAGAAAGTAGTAAATATTTCTCATCGACCATCTTGGATTTGCCATCTCGGAGTTAAAAAAAGGGGGGAAAAGTGCCCTCGTCATACTTTTTTCAAAATATTAGGGCGAGAAACTACTTTTTTTTTACTTGGCTTATTATTCTTTTTATTTTTTTCACAGTCACAGCGCATGTATTATTCACTATCCGAGTCCCAAAACATTATAAATATTACTTTCCATACCTACACTAGTGCAAAAGAAAATAAATAGCAATACTATATTAGAATTTAAAAATATTTTAATTAATCTCTTTAAATGAGTTAATAATTTTCATGTTATAATTGATATTGAAACAATATTAATTATATTTTAATGATTAATGTAATGGAAATAGATAATTATCAAATCAATAATGGCGGTATTACAAATGAATTTCCTATTATGCAGGATGTGCGTTCCATACACATTGTTTTAATGACCATGGTATGTAATCACGTGAGCTGCATAAAATAATAAGCAGGCGTATCAATCCCAGAAAGCTGCTTGCTGTACCATTTTCAACTAGCAAACAATAACCTCTTCTGCATGAGTAGTAGTATTTTACTTTCTCTAAAGGCTTGTATAATGCAGTACATATATGAAAGCATTATACACAGTACTTATATAAAAGCATTATACACATACATTATATAAGCATTATTCATATTATTATGGATATTAATTAGCAGTGATAAATATGTTTACCATCTGCATGTATTTAACAAGTGCGTTTTTGTTGTCTTCCCAATACTGAGGTAGATCTGTGGCTGGCGGAAATTTATTGCATCCTAGCTCCAGAGTGATTTCAAAACAGTTTGTGTAGAGGTAGTTAGTATCCTGCATACCTACAAAAACAAAAAAAACTGTTGTCATCATCATCAAAACATTAAATGTAGCTGAGGTAGTTTAGTATCTTGCTTACTCACAAAACACCATCACCAGCACATCATCATCATCATCTTCATTGGCATAACCATCATCAGTGCCGTAGCCAGCTATTGGGACAGTTGGAACAGTCCCCGAAACAAATTTTTTAATGGGTCCACAAAGAATTGGTCCACATTTTTAAAAATGGGTCCAAATTATGCAGTTTTATGCATAATATGAGTCCACTTTTTTATTAATGGGTCCAGATTTCTAATATTTTGCCTAAAATGTGTACACTCTTTAGAAAATGTGTCCAGATTTTCCATATTTTTGTGTAAAATGGGTCCAACTTATAGAAAATGGGTCCACATTACTTGGATTTACGCGCAAAGTGGGTCCACCATGATATTGTCCAGCACTGTTATAAAAATCCTGGTTAGGACATTGACCATCATCATCTTCATCATCATCAGCATTATCATCATGATCATGATCATTCACCATCACCACCACCACGACCAACATTATCATGACCATCAACATCACTACCATAATCATCATCATCATCATCATCATCATCATCATCATCATCATCGTTATTTTCATTACCAATTTCCAATCTTCAATGGTTAAATATTATCACAGAACACAAAGACAAAATATATCAATCATTAAACACTTTAGCATTACTGTGTCAAAAATAACTAAATTATCAACCTTTCAAAGACCTTTCAAAAACATGCTTGAAATTCATAAGCAATATCTTACGTCAGAGGGTAATCTCACAGACTCTCTAATGTCACAATTCACCATCATTATGTGCATATAGCGCAATTAATTCTACGTTCAGTTCCATTCCCGTTCATTCACTTGTTTACATTCACTTCACAATAAAGCGATGCTCACAACTGAAGTGCACTTGGTCTATTTCCAGTTTTACTTTTCATACATGCCATTCTGTCCCGAATCACTTATGAAAAACATGAAGAACTCTTATGTTCGTAAGTGTAGACTTTTGTCTCAATTACTTTTAAACAAAGGGGAATGGATTTCTGGCATCAACATTTCCCTGTGAGAATACTTAACAAGGTCAATGAACATTTTGCAGGTCAGCATTCAATACATTTTTTGATAGATTTTTTGATATACAAGATATGATATTATATCACATTTTGTCTTCAGGAAGACAGAATAAAAAAATAAACTTCATAAGCATATAAATTCTAGACAACACCCAGTAGGATTATTCAAAAGTTGCATTAAAGATTTCGCCACAATGTTGCTAGCCAAAAGGATTACACAAATATATACAACACAAAATGTGTTCATATTTATAATAAATCATAAATAACTGTATTTTCTATGACTGCAACACGTACTATAGGCCTACTGTATATATCATCTCAGAAATTTTAAGTTTTTGGTTGGTTTTCTTTTAGAGTTTTATTTAAACCATATTTACATTACTTTTATGTTACTTTACAACTTAATTTTGTTATGCACCATAATCTATATGTGTGCCACTAATATAAGTTATTAAAATAAAAAATAACCTTAAAATGAAACAAAAAATATTGACTTGATATTTTTCAAAACTAAAATTTGTTCTTTTTCACTATATATAATGTAGTAAAATTATTTGATGTTGTAAATTTAATCATTTAAATCATATATACAAACATTAAAAAATATACAGATGTTAATATTTATGAAAGAGCCTAACAATGAACCGTACCCACCTCCTGGTACTGGGTACCAATCAGCTCCATTTGTGATGCCGTCATCAAATACTTTTTCAGTCATGTCGCACGGTTTACGATTCTCATCTGACATTTCGGCATGGGCCTCCGAGTATGATTTTGCTAATTCAATAAAGACTGCATCATCCGGGCATTTCTGATAATGAGGTTGATTATCTTTACTGGAGTCGAACGGAAAATTAGCGACGAGATCACCGCCGTGAAGATTTGCCGAAAGAGCGAATGGGTATTCTGTGAGCCAATTTAAGATTACCTGTGTCTCTTTTTGAAGCTGGAAAATTATGAAATGTGTTGTCAAAAAAAAAAAAAATTAACATTATAAATTTAGAAAGAAAATTATTGGTATTTAAAGGCTCACATTTTATGGTGTTTCATCAAAAGATCGAAGTTCACAAGTACGTTCAGGATAGCTTTTGTATGTTTTTTCTATGTTTTTTATGAGTTTTTAATTGTCATTATTGTAGCTGACATGGGCGAGATCCCACGGTACATTACAGTACTCTAGTGTACAGTAAGTTTACATTTCCAAAAGATTGGCAGATTAATGAGCTGAAGACCACAAATCACCACTCTATTTCTTATTCCGAACATAACCAAGCACTATATATAAATATGTAAATATTATTCATGCATAACAATCTAAAACTTACCAAGTGTCCAATTTCTCTCATTGTCATGGTGATATGATTATTTGGACCGGAATGCGACTTCTGGAGTGCGAAAAATTTTTTGTCCATGTCTGGAAAGTTACGGTTCAAATCTATACCATTGAAATTAGCACGTCCAACAGTCCAGGTGTTTGTTCCTTTTGTCTTAAACTGAAATTCAGGAAAGAAATCCAACTGTTTTGACATAGACATAAAAAATAGTCACAATCATTCTTATTCAGTAACTCAATAGCACTTTTTGTTGTACTATTATCAACTTCATATAATCACTTAACGACATCCCTCTGGAGAGACTTAGATAAGGTTGTGGTCAAATCCATTAGGAGTAGTCTAATTCCGATCACTTGTTCTCATATTTAACCCATTTTTTTTTATTGTTATGAACTCATTAGACTATGTTCTCTTGTTTTTGATAGCATGGATTTATAATAAGTGAGGAGCTAAACTAATACACAAATGATTTGTATTGGCTTTGCTTTGTATTGGCTTTCTGACATGTAATTCAGAAGCCTTTAGCTTGTGGGTAGTCCTGCTATTGATGTGTGCATCCAGTTCTTAGTATTATTATCATATCAATGAGTATACATATTAAAAATCATTTCATGATCACACAATTCACAGTAAAAAATATAATGATAAATTGACATACTTTTTAGCCATATTTCACCATACAAAAATGTCTAAAATTAGATGTAGGATATTTTTTTTTAAATTGTATTATAAGGATTGATTCATTATTTCTATAAGAAATATATTGGAAACTAATAAGATAAAACACTAGAAAGAAAAATAAAACCCTTTTTTATTAAAAAAATATGCAATTTGATGGTTTTTGTAACGGATGTAACATTGTATGTCAAACAATTTAGGAAGTTAAAAATGGCCCAATGTTCCTAAAAAAGAAATATATCTGTTACTTTTAAATGTTTATAAAATTAGTGAATATATACAGTAAGATATATAAAAAAAAAATGGTAATCATGCATTTTATTTTTGGTGCATCCACAATGGAAAGTCATTGACCCAAATGTATGTCAAAATCCTGTTCGTCCGTTACATGGGAATAGGATTTGTAGTGTATTAAAATACAAACATGCATATTTCTTTTGAAAAGATAATTTAACTATCTTATAATAACCCTTTTCCAAAACATTGATATCATATGTTCTGTTCCACAGAGTTTAGCCAAAATCATCTGTATTCTATTTTTCCATGAAAATGTTAGGTTATCATGTCCATTTACTGTGAAATTACTCATATATATATATATATATATATATATGCTGATAGTATATAACCAATTCCGTAGCCAACTATTGGGACAGTTGGCACAGTTCCACCCAACTTTTCTAATGGGTCAAAATTATGTACTTTTATGCATAAAATGAGTCCAGATTTCTGATATTCTGCTTAAAATGGCTAAAATTTAAGAAAATGGGTCCAGATTTTTAATATTTTTGCATAAAATGGGTTCACATTGTTTGAATTTACGCGTAAAGTACCTCCACCCTGATATTGTTCCACACTGTTTGAAAAAGTAAACTGTTTGAAAATCCTGGCTACGGCATTGTATATAATACCTCCGGATTGGAGTTGAGCTGCAGTGAGTTAAGCAAACAAAAAAAAATCATAAAGGTTCTGTTATAAGAGCATCGATATCTTTCCCAGAAACATCAATTAATGACCATCCCTATTGAAATTGGTAATCACCAAATGGGGATTTGCCATGCCAAAAACAACATCAGTGATTGAACAAAAAAATGATTTTTTTTAATATTCATATTTTATTCTCCATATCATAAGCTTTAAAATAATGGGTCATTGGAATCGACTTGCTGTTGCCAAAGGCAATGTATGTATGGATTATGTACTAAAGTACACAAATTTTGCTAATTATGTTAATTAATCAGTTTAACATTTGATATTGCAAGCCTCAAATTTATAGTGTTATTAAAAATGTTGCACTTCAACATTGTGTTTTTTATATGGATGGAATTGGCACCTCCTAGACTGCTTCCAAAGATACTCTAAGAGCAAAAATAAATACTTTATATTAGGGGATAAACAAATCAATATTTTCTTTGTTGTACTGAAAAAGAAGGAAATTATGTACAGTTACTACTTATATTATTGCCTATGTAATGTTCAAATTTAGTAACCGATTTGAATTTAAAGTTCAAACTAAATTTTACATTTCATATTTATACTTATTTTTTAACGATTATAATAATTTTATTAAAATAAAATATTATTATTACAGTATTTCCAAAAAGTGATATATAAATATGACAACAGGTGCAAGGAAACTTCAAATCTTTAAATGATCGACCTTGCCTTTGCTAAGACAGTCTAAGCCTGGAAGGATATAGGTACTGGAGTTGCTGTAGCTAAGGTGGTTATGAACGTGAATGATTAGTAACAAGGGTGCCTTGCCTACAATCCCAAGAGCATAAGTTCAGTCTCAACTTGTGCCTATGGAGCTTACTCATAATACAACATAGTTTATAAAGAACACGTACAGTCATCCTTCTACCTCCCTTTTTTTTATTATCGTTTATTAAATTTGATTTTATAATTAAAAATCATGAAAGTGATCAGGAAGTATGTTACTTTGTGGGGAAAGTCTTCCAAACTCCTAACAAAGGGCTTCAAACTTAAAGAACAAAGTTTAAGAATCTGATTGGTTCAAGGTGGGTGTAAGCGCCTGGAATACCCCAATGAAAAGTGATTAACTTATTTCATATTCGTAGAGAAGTATATTAAAAACGTGTTATCTTTAAATTGCTCTAGGGTTTGTATTGTAGGTTAATGGCATTCCTGATCAACATGGTGGTTTTAATTATTTTTTTGCATCCTCGATCCATGAATGAAAACAGGAACACAGTGGGTGATGACCATTGGGAAACAGTGTTAATTACAAATGGGCTATGATTGATGTGAATATGAATAACATCACCTTGTTAATTAACACCTAGGTCACCTGGATAACAATACACAGGAGTATTAAGAGATTTTTTTTTCATTGAAAGTTGGAATGCCTTGTTTAGGCTAATAGGTTGCATACTCTGGTTATTTAAATAAGATTGATCTTAATTTGATTTTTTGTATTTACATGAGCATGGGATTGGCTATAGTAAAAGTGTAAGATCCTAAAGAATAGATATTTAGTTTAGCATGGTACTCTGGTCTTTTTAGAAGGAAACCTTATAAATAGTATTTATTATTAGACAAAAAAATATTTTTTCACTTGTCCAAACTGACCATGAATCTTGAATATTCTGTGTTAGTATTTAGAAGGTTATTCCAGATGTACACATTAAAAAAATATGAAAACCAGTAAAATTTTGCCCAGGCTCAGTGTGATTTGCCAATTTCATTATCAAAATGTTTTTATTTTGCATACTTAAGATTTGTTGGTTTTTTTTCTCAGCCTTAATTTGTTCTTATTTTTTAAGCAACTTCAGTCTCGGTGTTCTTATAAAATGTGTTCTTTAAAAAAAAATTTTATATCTTTCACTCTCCTTCTCTGTATGTTGTTTTTCGTAATATGATATAATAAATGAAATTAATCTATTCAAAATGTATTTTTAACAGTTTTTTTTTTGTTTACCAGGAAGGAGCACTGCAGTTCCAAAGGCCACTTGTCAAGCTATTTATAGCCTAACACAAACCACACAGAAAATTAAATTTAAATAAATTAGATTAAACTTGATTGTATATAGCCCTATTTTTTTTTAACAAATTGTAAGGGAAACTGAATGCTAGAATTAGTCCAATAGTAAAAAAAAAATGGAAGATTCCCATATGCCACTGTGTTTGGGCAACACATTTTTTTTTTTGCCTGATAAACATGATAGTGAACATAAAATAATCAAAATTAGAGCATGCGTGGGATGTAGTTAAAAAAACAGAGTACAGGATATTGGTAAGGAGAAATCGAAAAGCTGTTTCAAATTTCATGCTCACAACACTTTTTTAAATTATTTTGAAATGCAATCAATGCTAAATATAGTGTTGTTGCTGGAAGAAATATAGTACAATATCTGATAGAGACATCAGAATCATGGTTTTTAAAATAAAGTTTGACACTACCTCATCAAGAGCAATGGCATATCCATCAGGGTTCATCGTTGGCATAATGTGGATTCTAGTGTTGTTAATCAGGTGCCTGATAGATGGTGTACCTTTAATGTACTCTTTACAAAGGTAGGGTATCAGAATTAAGAGCATCTCCCTGCCAACCACTTCGTTACCGTGCATGTTGCCGACATATTTGAACTCGGGTTCACCTGTGAAAGATATAAAGAAAAAAAAATTAAGAAAACAAAAATCTTCCAAATCTATTTATCACCATTCTTAAGGCCAGTCTCAACTATAATGCATTCGCTTATACTGTCTATATATATAGGCCTATACTTTCCATTTATTGGGTATTGATTTAATTAGGCCTATACAATTTATTACGAAACACTTAAATAATAATTTATACCAAGTTTAATATTTATATCATCATTTCCATTTATTTACAGTTCATTGCAAATGGTCTCTTGTACTCATATCTACAAGATGATAATTTTTTTTTGGGTGTGAAGAGGTGTGGACAAACAGGAAAAGAAAAGGTATAGAAAATGGTTATGAGATTAATCTTAAGGCAATAGAAAGACCATACAAGTTTTTTAGATACACCAGGCCCAGGGGCCGCTACCTGACACAGGTCAGGTAGCACATCACATATCTCAGGTTCATCTCAGGTTGCCTACAGATTTTTAATTTTTTCTTTTGGAAATTAGAAAATTCATTACAAATATAAGCGACAAATGGAAAGTATTTGTAATAAAATTATACCACCTGTTCATCATTTGTACGTGTTAATGGAAGAATTTTGATTTAGGTATGAGAGAGCATGCAACAATGAGTTATATTCCCAAATTGAAGGATTTGCATTGAAAGGAAAACAATTAAAAAGGCCAACTTGAACAGAATATACCAAATGTATCACGTATATCCTCCCCAGTGAATATTATCGGCACACTTATTTGATGGCCAATTTACAGTAACCATGCCCAGAAATAGTGAGTATTTGTACAGTATAGTAGGCCTACTTCTATAATCTTTTACTTCAAAACTACTTGCAAATCTTTACCGACAATCTACATTTGCTTAAATTAAAGCAAATTGTTGCATATACAACAGGGGAGAATCCAACAGGGGCGTGAATGTGCAAACTGGGCGAGAATCACAGGGAAGAGCCCCTGGTAGGGGTGCAAAGGGGAAAATCACTAAACCGCTAGCACCTCATTAAATTGATTTTTTATTTGATTGATTTTCTCTATTAGTTTAGCATGATAATTTTCTGAAAAAAAATTAATTTTTTATAAAAAATAGGATACGCCCCTTACTAATTCTCCACTGTACAACAAATTTTACTAAATGCCTACTTAACCTACCAGCCAACAAGTCTAGGTGAGCGTACTATACTGCCTATCTAATCGCAAGCTACTTCACGCCAACTCTGGTATATATATTTACGCGCATATGATGAAAGTGATACAAAGGGAGACTGCGAAAACACGTGGCCTATGTTATAATGTTAGCATCTTCCTAAACTGAATGACAGGAAAAGGGCTGGAAATCACCTGACTGACAGGCGCCATACACATTTTAGTAAATATCCAACAAAAAAAAATCACCATACAATAACACCGACCTCGAGAATTATCAGCTGAAGCAGGTTGCAACCCCCAAATGGGGTCACGACCCCCACCTTTGGGATTCACAGACCTGCTGAGGATTTATACAACATTCAAATGATTCCCTATCTGATACAATCCTGGATTGAAAAGGTTGTCTACATAGCCAGCCAATGGTATGCTACTTATCTGTCTCCTATGGTATTATATGTAACACGTCCGCAGACACAAATGATTAAACATATGCATGCACTTTACATTTGTGTAATGAACCTACATAGAGAGAAACATTTTTTTCATATCATTTCTTTTCATACTATTACAGTTCTATTTTGTACACATAACAAAACCATTATAAATATTTGTATCTTAGGCTCCACTGATATTTTTATATCTATATTACTGTTCTGTATATACAAAGGAAATTAATTACCACTTATTAAAATAATAAATAATGTAGGCATATGTATTACTTAACTTTCAACTATTCATCAACTTCAAACAAAAACAGTCTTCAAATTATTTAATATAAGCCATATTTATTTTAATTGAGTACCGTACTTATAAGCATGATATGTATATTATAACAATCGTTATAGATTATATTTCAAACTATAATTAAGCAATTTTATGGTAATCTGATACTACTAATGGTGTCATGAATAAGATGTTGTAATGTTTATGTTATAATTTATGTTCATATTAATTCTTGAAAAAAAATACCAATAATAACAAAAAAAAAATTATTCTTTAATTTTATGATAATCAAAAACAGTATTAAGGATAATTATAAAACAAAAGTGACTCCAAGTGAGGTCATAAGGATAATACAATGTTGACAATCAGAATGGTTATGCATGAGGATGATAATGAGGACAATGATCATATTAATGATGGCAATATGCATAAAATAATGGAATGCTTATAAAGTATTTTTGAAAATGATACTATGTTGAAAACAAACTCATTGCTTTAGCCATGTACCTTCATTATGTTGAAAAGATGAGAAATTGACTTATGGATTTTATATTTACTTAGAGTCTGCGTAGGATGTAGTATGAAACATTTAGTACTTTTACAGGATATTGTTGAAGAAAAATCGATAAGCCATTTCAAGTTTCATGTACACAACACATATTTTATTTCAAAATGCAATCGATTCTAAAAGTGTTGTTGCTGAAGGAAATATTTTAGAAAAGGGCAGCTGAATATATCTTTTTTTAAGTAAGTGTGGCAAATTATCTACTGTACTATATCCATAATTTATATAAACATATTCTCAGTTATACGATATATATATATATATATATGTTTTTCTTCATCATTTGTTACATATAGTAAGTCAAATTCTAATTTTTTTTTATTTTTTTTTAATATTTCCATAAAGACCTTAATACTATTTATTATGAATCTTGATGAGTGGATAATTAAGGATAACCATAGTAATCTTTGAGAAATTAATAATAATTTATTTAAAGCTTATTCACATTTTAAATGGTCACCATGGAGAACTATTAATACTGATAATTAAATGTTAAATCCATATTTAATTGGTGTTTTTATCTTCATAATTATCGCTAATTTAACACTTCAGTGTCAGTATTTTTGTAATTTGGCTTATTTGAAGGATATCACCAGTTTTAATCAAATAAGAATTAATTATTTACAAGCCTAATCCATTTAATTAGGTAGAGTACCACTATAATTTTTATTTTCATTATGTCTGTAATTACTTCTAAGATTTAATCAGCTTCATTGTTTTTACACTTGTGATCTTTCATACTTTCTCTTAAGTTATTTAAACAGGACCACCTCGAAACCAGAAATTGATTTTGTGTGCTGATAGTTACGCTAAGCCGGCACAAGGTTTGGCTACAATCAACGTCTAAAAGTGTAGTATGATATTTAGTATTAATATTATTTTTATTAAAATTCTTAAATGAATTGTTTACATTTATTTTACTTTGCAATCATACGTTTTTGAAACAGCAGCACACACAAGATTGATGCGTTCAACTTAATTACAAAAATATCAAATAAAAATAGTTTACCGTACTGCATTTATTACAATACTGGTATTAATTTGTTTTTGTTATTTGAAACTGAAGTACAATTTACAATGAACATTATAAGACAACATTTCAAAATGTAAAATGTCTATGGTAGCAGGCACTATCATTTCAATACTGTATTTTCTACGATATTATGCAAAATAATTTCCACTGACATATGCCATTTTTTTGAGTAAATATTTATTTTAAACCATCTAATTTCGAATATAGAACTTTAGTATTATATAAATAAAAAATTGTTTTGAGTAGGATTCATCAAGGTTGTATCTTTGGCATTCGTTTTCAAATCTATGCACTAAGTATTAATTATTTATTAAACAAACAAATATTCAAAAGCTACACACTTTCAAACATCCATATGTATGCGATCGAATTTACGAGTTTGTTGCACCAGCGAGTGCAATAATGACTTCACAAGTAAGACTTTCCAACAATTTTTATATGACATTGTTATTATAATGGCATTTGCATATAGAAGAAATATCTGAATGATGTTTTTGCCCTACCTAACATATGTTATTATGCTTGATGCTCAGTTGTTCCTGTCTCTTATACACATCTAGATGTGTATAAGAGACAGGAAACATTACTTTAGAACAATATTTTTTAGTACAAAATCCATGTAAGTGCTTATATATAATATAGAGACCTTGTTTACTGTCTCTTATACACATCTAGATGTGTATAAGAGACAGGTGTCAGTATTTTTGTAATTTGGCTTATTTGAAGGATATCACCAGTTTTAATCAAATAAGAATTAATTATTTACAAGCCTAATCCATTTAATTAGGTAGAGTACCACTATAATTTTTATTTTCATTATGTCTGTAATTACTTCTAAGATTTAATCAGCTTCATTGTTTTTACACTTGTGATCTTTGTTACTTTCTCTTAAGTTATTTAAACAGGACCACCTCGAAACCAGAAATTGATTTTGTGTGCTGATAGTTACGCTAAGCCGGCACGAGGTTTGGCTACAATCAACATCTAAAAGTGTAGTATGATATTTAGTATTGATAATATTTTATATTAAAATTCTTAAATGAATTGTTTACATTTATTTTACTTTGCAATCATACGTTTTTGAAACAGCAGCACACACAAGAGTGATGCGTTCAACTTAATTACAAAAATATCAAATGAAAATAGTTTACTGTACTGCATTTATTACAATACTGGTATTAATTTGTTTTTGTTATTTGAAACTGAAGTACAATTTACAATGAACATTATAAGACAACATTTCAAAATGTAAAATGTCTATGGTAGCAGGCACTATCATTTCAATACTGTATTTTCTACGATATTATGCAAAATAATTTCCACTGACATATGCCATTTTTTTGAGTAAATATTTATTTTAAACCATCTAATTTCGAATATAGAACTTTAGTATTATATAAATAAAAAATTGTTTTGAGTAGGATTCATCAAGGTTGTATCTTTGGCATTCGTTTTCAAATCTATGCACTAAGTATTAATTATTTATTAAACAAACAAATATTCAAAAGCTACACACTTTCAAAC